AGCCATTGGAATATCTGAAACTCATTAGCCAAGTTATGCTCAGCAAACACGACACTCACTGATTAACAGGAAGCTGAAATACTCAGGCCAGTAAAATTTACTGTCATGCTGTAGAAGACTCTTTTCAAAGCTGAAAACAGCATGTGATATTTACAACAGCAACATTGAATCAAGGGGCTCCTCCTTTTGTTCCAAATTACATTCCAAATTATGATGATTATTATGCGCGGTGTTATAATAAACGCAATTATTCTGCCATTTCTATCAAAAATATTACATAGGAAACAACAGAAATGCTAAGCTGAAGCTGTGATCCTGTATTACACCCTCACACTGCACAGCTGATGCCTCTGCTGCATCAGAAAGTTTCGGCACGTTGCCTTGAACTTGTGCACCGTGGTTACAGTGACAGAAAAAATAGCACACGTAAAATCTGATAGGACTGCAGCCTATCCCTGTTGCCATTACTGTTGCTTCAAGAGCTCTAAATAGCTTTCAATTCCAGCTTTTGATTATTCTCCACAAATTGAAAGCAGCACGGTATGTGAATGGCTGGTCTCAAACAAATCATCTGAACATACAGTTTGACAAGCACGTCATGTTTGTCTTACTTAAAGCTCTGAAACAACTACTAACATTTCCAGTATCTTCAAGTATACAAATTTTAAAACCCAAACTATAAATGCTTTATCTTTGCCAATTCAGGCATGAGCTGCTTGTTTCTGCATGTGTGCTCATATATCTGTAAAGGAACATGGGGCTTTTGGCACTCTCAGGTATTTTATTTATACGTTTTTCAGGCAGGGTTTAAGAGACTGCTTCTCAAACTAGTCACCATTAGTGTGCCCTGTGTCCCCCATTGACTTCATTAGGAGCTGTGAGCACACAGGATTTCTGAGGGTGCTAAAAATGTCAAATGGGGCATTGAGCAAAGAGGAAACCAGACCAGTAAAGAAAGCTCCCTGGAACAATCAGCTTTTGATATTAAAACCCTGGTGTACCGTGTGTAGTGTCTAACATGTTTACAGGTAAAACGTGTATGTTTTCTAAAGCATATGCATTTCTTGTAGCCCAGTTTTCAGGAACAGCAAAAACCCTTGCTTTTCAATGCAAATCTAAAAAATCCCAGGAAAAGATTGTGTACTTCTGTTGACATATTCACAATATCCTTAAGTATATATTATCAATTCAATAATGATATTCATACAATGAAGACCTTGGGAGCATCTGGTATTAAAATCTTTGCCAAAATCTGAAGGCAGCACCTCTGTTTGCAAGAGCCCAGGGGCAGACAGTTGCAAATCAGAACCTTCCTACTCTTCCATGCATAGTTTAATTGTGGTCTTAAAATGTTTGTGAAAGAGAGTCCTTTGTGCTTTGCCACAGTCACACCAAAAAAACAATCATTCTCTCTTCCAGGCACACCATGTACACACTGTGGCTTCGGACAGCAGAAAGCAGCATTCAAGGGAGATAAATCAACAGCTCAGGAGAAACAAAGAAAAGAGAAAGGAGAGTTTTCTAGATGAATGCTCCAAGAGGGTCCTGCCTGCTGCAGTTGCCCATCTCTATAGGTCAGGTTTTATGCTACTACCTGTCTCTTTTATGCTTGCCCTGTAAAATCAGTGTCAGTCACAAGGGATTCATGAAGTCTTTGACTCTTCTCCTTTTTAAAGGTCAGGGCTCCACTTTTTAATTGGAAAAGCAAAAGGTGAATGAGCCTGACCGTGAATGGTGCAGTCCTTATTGTGTGCCTTAAGATGCTCAAAGGCTGCCACAATATGTCAGGGCTTTTTGGAGGTGTCCTAGGGGGAGGGTGTGGTGGTGATGGTGGCATTACAGATTTATGCAGTTTTTTGGGGAAAAGAAACATTGTTTGAACCTAAACAATGCAATGGAATTGCAGGACTTGAAAATTACTGTACCTGGAGCTGGAAGTGCAGCCACCTATGCAAGTTCAAACTGATCATACAGGTGTTATCCAAATATATGCTTAATGACTTTTTTGATAAATGGATAAATTTTTCTTTTCTCTTTATCAGAACTATGCCTTTTAATTCCCCCATGATAAAAAAAATAAAACAAAACAAAACAAAAAAACTAAAATGGGTTAGAACTGGGAAGCTGCAGGGGTTTAGGTTTGTTTTGTTTCACATCTCCGCAGAAGTGGAGAGAGAGGAGAAAGAAGACAGATTGAACATGTTTTGATTTTGGAAAACTGGACTATTTTTCTCTTTTTGCTTTCTAGGGGCAATAGAAGTATCCCTGGCTGTATGACACAGATTCACCTCTGTTAGAAATTCCTGTTGCAAAGATGCAAAATGTTTTGTTTACCTCCAATACTTATTGCAATATATTTAATGGATGACCAGCTCTGTTTCCGATGCATCAAAAATCGCTTCACTACTTCTAGTAAATACGTCTTTAGCCTGATCTTGTTATATTTATGCATTCCTACAGTGATCTTCAGCACAGATTCTGAACCAAAATGTAAATTTCTGAATAACTTTGTTATTCCTAATAATTTTCATGATTATTTAGGAGAAAGTATAAAAAAGCACAGGTATTTTTCTTTGATTTTCTTTTTCTTAAACAGTGAATACAGCAACTGCACATTTCCATCAGTTTTTACCAAAGCTCCCATGCAAATACATGCTTACCACCTGTCCCATCTCTGCCCATGATGTTCAGACTGGAATTTGGACAGGTTATGTCCATTAGCATATTTTGCCAAAACCAGGCTTAGCATCCTCCACTGAACACATATCTACATTTCTCATGCCTTCCTTTCTTGCTTCTCTAATCTCTCCACTAAAGTCTCTGCTTTGGTAAACTTCACCTGTCAAACCACTTTTCTAGTTTATAGTCCACATTTCTTCAAACTGTCATTGCTATCTTTAGTGTGAGATCCTTTCCCGGTATCTTTATAATAACTGTCTCCAAAGTTATTGTGTGATATGTTTTTTACCATATCTGCTATTTCTTCCATAATGCTTTGAATTGAAATATTAACAAGCACTGGAACAAAGGTTTAGCTCTAGCATTTTTCATCCACCTTTCTGTCTGCATAAGATCATAATCACTGTAATATTTTTCATTTAATTTTTTATCTGGATTTATCCAAGATGTTATTTCCTGTACAAAATAAATATTGAGGATCTATGTTCTGCAAGAAACCTGCATAACATTCACCATTAATTTTTTTTGCTTTTATCCTTTTGTTTATCATATATATGTTTGAATGCAACGTATCATGAAGACATGAGTGGCACATAATTTCCAAAAACAATTATGTAGTGTTCTGTTTCTTACTGAAGTCTCTTTTCCTCCAAAGATTGCAGAGCTTCACAGCTAGAAAACCTTTAATTTATTCCTATTTTCATTTTCTATATTCTATTTCATTCATGAAATTTTTTTAGAAGGACATAAACTACCACTAATACAGCAAAAAATCCCAACTTGATTGTGTGGAGATGAAAGACCTTGTTACATACCTATATCCTGATTTAGACTAATGGTGGACTAATTTTAGTATTCTCTATTTTATTCAGCATTGTAACACTCTGCCTGACCCTTTCTCTAATACCTTGGTGTTTCACCTGTATTGAATGACTTCTGAGTGTAAAGGTGATATATCACCATTTCCTGTGATGGTTATTTAAAAGAGATTCTGCTTTTATTACCTATGCCCACCATAGGAATCATAGCGCTCCTTACCTCTTGCTATATCTATTCCATTTTCATTTAACTCAAGATGCTTCTTATTTCCCATTTTTCATCTTGTTATTAAGGTATTTGTTAGCAGAAGCACCTATCTTGGTTCACCTCCTGGTTTCATGAGAGAATAAAAAACACATCTTCTGTCACAAAGATTTTCCCTGAGAAGAAGGCTGTGTATTTCTCGATTGCCTATGACCTCCTTGCATGTGTCCATTTACTGGTCTATAACACGGGGATAATGATGCTCACTGAGGGCTTAACTACATATTGTTGGAAATGTATTCAAGAGATTTGGGGAAAACCTGACTTAGGACTTTTCTTCTTCTTCTGTTTTTTTTTGCCAGGTACCTGAGTTCCCCCGTTAGCTAATTTTGTACTGGACCTGAAACAATTTTCTCTTGTGTTCCTTCTCCTACTGAAATAAGGCATAAGGATCTTGATAGACACATCTTTGTTCTTCCAATGCAATGGTACAGCATTATCAGGACTTCCAAGACTTTTGCCAACAGTAGGGTAATTAAATTTCCTCATTAAAATGAGGTCCTGTGAATATAAAATCCCCCAGCTCTCCCAGGGGAACCTGTCTACCCTCTCTCTGACAGACCATCCTAGTGGATCTCTCCCTTTTCACCCCATTTCATGAAACATTACCACTTAGTTTGTTACCCATCAGTATTTCATGTGCATTACAGGTAGTTTCACCTGATGGTTCATGGGACACTTAGCCTGACTGAGAGCATCCTGAAGAGAAGGCTTGTTGTGGATGACAGCACTCCACGTTACCCTCCCCGATGACAGGGGACACTGGGGATGTTGCTGAGAACACCCAGGAGCACAGTGAAGAAGCAGAAGAACGCAGGCAGAAAGCAAGAGGGTTATCCAGCACAAAGAGGAAGTACACACCATCCTAAACCAAGTTGCCTGGCACTTCTCTGTGGCACCTCGCTCATCCAACCTATGTGCTCCTGGCCTGCTTTCTCTTTTTCCGTTTTTGCCCATAGGAAGCGTGGTTTCTGCAAGGCAAAACCCACTCCTCTTCCCTCTGCAAAGGACCCCACATCCGTTACACACCACTCTGCCTTAAGAAAGATGAAGGAGCCGAAAGTGTCACAGATGTAAGCAAAGGGTAATATTAGCACATGTTCTGTTATGGGGACTCCCCATATTGCGGAAGCGAAGGTTGGAAATCAGCCGCCACCTGAGCAGCCCTTCCCAGCACCCCGTTGCCAGCCCCAGCGCCCTGGCAGCCCGCACCCCAGGGCAGTGATGGCAGCACTCACAGCACGCAGAGGCAGTAGGCTCCAGGGATGGTCTCGCTGTCCCGCAGCAGGTAGCTGCCATCCACACCCGCCTCCAGCAGCAGCTTCTCCCCAGCCTCCCGCGTGATGCGCCCGTGGTAGATGGGCAGCGTGTCCATGCCGGGGCCGTCTCCCACTGCAGGGAGCCCTCCCTGTGCACGGTGCTGCCTCCAACTGTGCCTCAGCCGTGTACTCCCCTCGGCCTCTCTGTCTTGGTGGCAGATGTAAACAGGATGTGTTCACACCTCTGAAGCCTCTGCAAGGGGCGAGACAGCACTGAGGGAAGAGTGAGGAACGAACACAGCATTTTTGTGGGGTTTTTTTTCCTTTGCCCCTTTCCGTTTTCCTTTTGCATAGGCTGTAACATCCTCGCAGCATCACAGCTCTCCCACAGAGGTGTCATTTCACAGCCCCTCTCAGCCATGTGGCTCCATTCGGCAGGGATGGGACTGGTGAAGCACACGACGGCCACAGGGCCAAGGGCCGCCCTGGCTGGGGATGGGAGGGCAGGACCAGGGCACCACTGTCAGCAGCTGCACCAGGCACTTTTTTCTGCTGGTGTTAACCCAAGGGAATTATTATCCCAAGCAGGGATTATTTCTTAACCTCCTGTTTTTAAAATCCCCAGGGGTGAGACAGTAGAGGAAGTGAGCTGACCTCGCTGTCGCTGCCCCACCAGGCACCAAGAGCCTTCTTGCCCCATCAGGAGTCCCTCAGTGAGGAATTGAGAAAGCTGCAGAAACCTCAGCTGAAGAGGGACTGAAAACTCCCTTTTCTATTGAATACACAGGTTTTCATTACCCTCTTTACATGAACTTTGGGGCTCTGCCATCCTGCTTCATTTTTTAAACCAGTTGTTAAAGTATTTGCACATAAAGTAGCTGCTCCCTACTGCAAACGTGATTAATATGGATGGTGACGAGCTGTAAAGCTGGCACCTATTTTTTCCCCTTTTCCAAACTACCTGTACTCTTGGGAATTCATCTAACTTTCCCATTTCTTAACCTATTCTCAATAGTAACAACTGATTTCAGAAAAAGTATGTGTGTAGTTAGCTGGAGAGGAAAACCAACCAGAACCATTCAGTTCTGCAGGTCTCATTGCCCACCTCATTAGATTTCAACTAAAGAAAATCATAAAACTTTTGACTGTGAGATCCTCTCCTAATTACCCAGCCAACCTGCAAATCCAGCACTTGGATGAAGCAGCATCTCTTACTGTGAAAGAGCTGTTAATACCCTATTTTGCTAGTGTGGGTAAGAAATCCATAAAACTCCATAAAACTACTGAAACCCAGCTCCAGGCTTCCATACAAATCCCTTTATGGCCACATTGACTAGGGGAAATGCAGCTTTTAAGAAGTAATGGAAGTGCTGGATTTGGGAACAAGGGACAGTAACTGAGGCACTAAGCAGGATAAACCAAACCAAAGGTCATAGGTGCCTCCTGAGCAAGAAAGAAACCATAACATGCTAACAGAGCTCTGTACCACACTATCGAGGTTGGAGGAATTCACCCTTCTCCCAGACAAGCCATCTTCACTGCAGCTTGGCATCCAGTCATTCTCACACTGACTGCCCAGGTTTCTATCCATTTAATCTTATGTATCTAAAGTATTGTTTGCCATCCTGTTTCATACTGCTGCATCTGCACAGTGGGGTCTAGAAGGCAAACTACAAAATAGAGCAGCAGGCTCAGGAGCATAAGGGAAGCAAGAGAGAATTGAGACTCAAGGGGGTGCTGCTCCTGTTGGGACTTTGTCCCCATTGCCTTCCACAGAAAATGGGGATTTCTTTAAGCACCAAGCCTTGCCCCATGGGACACTGGACACTTCCTTTGTTTTGTTTGGACAGTATTCAATATATTCTGGACAAAATAGTTCTGTGCCTTCCCTAAATCAGTCCAGCTAGCAGTCCCTGCAGTATATTATAAAAAATTTATCCAAAAAAACACATGAAGGAAAGGAAGCACTGAAAAGTGCTCTGAAATATTTGGTCATGAGAAACAGGCTTAGAAAGACAGACCAATTTGGTCATCAAGTCTACTTCTCTGCTATCTTAGCCAAACACATCCTATAATCCCTTTCAGAAACTCATTTAAGTCCATCTTAAAAGTGGCTTGGGGTTTGTTGTTATTGTCGTTGTTTCCACTGTTCTCACTGGAAAGCAATTGCAGAACATTGCTATTCTGTTGTTTGAAAACCTGATTCCAATTTCCGTCCTAAATTTATTCATGACCAATTTATGCTCATTTGTTCTTGTGCCAATGTTGTCCTTCAGTTTAAATAGATTTTTTTTTCTTCCTAGAGCTTATTCCCATGCAGCATTTATAGCGGCCTCCCTCAGCATGCATTTTGCCAAACTCCTCTCACACTACCTTCCCATGGTCACTCTAATCATTATTTTCCATAGCTTCCCAAAAGTGAAGTGAATCATTTTGTGAATAGTGTGCACTATCCTGTCTGATTTTTAATGTGTGCCTCATGCATCATTACCAGGAGTTTCATTATTCTGGTGAAAATACCTTGCTTTGTATGGTCTATATTTTCCCTTCCTTAGTCTTTCTTACCTATGAACACACATGTATAGTAGAAATCTGGTTAAGAAGACCCAGAAGCATGGACTTGCAGCCAAATCCTTGAGAATAGGATAAAATCCTTCCATTTTATCCTATTCTCAAGGTTACTCAAGTTCTTCCTAAATGAGAGTGTTATTCATCTCTGTAGTGACAGTGCCTCCCTCCCTTATGCCACTGGTAAATTCCATTAGCACACACTTATTTTTTTATGGGATCGTCATTAATAAGAAATGTTAAATAATATCAGGCCCGAGACTGATGCTTGGGAAGCCCTCTTGCCTTTCCTCAGTCCTGATCTCCACCTACTTCTTGCATTCTTTTTCACTTTTCAATTTCTGTACTAATCTCCCCTTTTAGCTAATAATTTCCCACATGGCACTGTACCAAATGCTGTACTTAAGTTTAGATAATTATCTCTAAGCACTTCCTTTGTCTAGAAAAATCAATTATGATGATATTTCAGGCACCGGAACTTGTAGAAGTACCTGAGAAGTGGAGGAAGGGGAGACAAAGTGAAATTACCGTAAGTTTTTTGAACACCTGCAAAGATTTGGGCTTTCATTTTCAGATGAGCTGCTCCATTCATCCCTAGCAATGACATTTTCATACATTGTTGAATTTTATAACAATTCTGCATATTATAACACTAATGCAAGAGCATCATTAAAATTCTTGGATATTGTTGTTTGACTGAAAATAAGAATGACCTTCAGGACCTTTATGAAATTAATGCTACTGCAGAACTTTTACAGGAAGGCCTTGTATAAAGGGCTATAAAGTTAGATAAAAAGCAAAATACTTGCATTGGTAGTTTTGCTGATAAAACAGTATCACCATAAATGCCATTTGTGTAGAACTACTGAAAAAACAGCTTCAAAAGTAAGAGTTTTTGCGAAGTTTTTGCAAAAATATTTAGCTGGTAAAATGCCACATTAAAACGCAGTTAAATCTAAATATGATTTTCATTATTTCATGTCACTTTCATTTTTGGTGTAATCTAACAAAATATTCATAACTGTACAGAATAGTATCTGCAGAGAGAGATTTGCTATTCACATAAGAAAGTGGTTGAGATTCAGTAAAACACTGGTTATTTTAGAGTATCTACAGAGTCACCATTATTGTGTTTCCTTTTTGAGCTGAAATGAAAGAGGCTGGGAAAAGCAGGCTACAATTAGCAAATGTGCAAGTAACTGTAAGGTTCTGAGCATCAATGCAGAAGGAGAATCCAAATAAATTTTGGCTTAAAGTTCACGTATTAGCATATATTTGTACAGCCTCCATGTTAGTCATGATATTCTATGTATGCTGCTTGGGGAAAAAAGGAGAAAAAATGTAAGATAGTAATAATAAATTAAGTTGGGATGTAGGTGTGGATTCTGTCTTTATCCTCCAGGACAAACACATTGTTCAGATTGAAAAAGGCCAACCAGGGTTTAGCCTGGAGAAAAGGAGGACCTTATTGCTCTTTACAACTACCTGAAAGGAGGCTGTAGGGAGGTGGCTGTCAGTCTCTTCTCTCAGGTAACAAGTGACAGGACAAGAGGAATGGCCTCAACTTGCACCAGGGGAGATTTAGATTAGATATTAGAAAAAGTTTTTTCATGGAAAGGGTGACCAAGCGTTGGAACATACTGCCCAGGGAAGTGGTGGAGTCATCGTGGAAGTGTTCAAAAAAATGTGCAGACATGGCACACATATTTTAATGGTGAATGTGGTGGTGCTGGGTTGATGGTTGGACTTGATGATCTTAAAAATCTTTTCCAACCTTAACAATTCTAGGATTCTATAAAAATTCCTCAAATCTTTGGGTAGTTGTGAGGGTGGTTGCAAATCGAGGCTTTTACCCCTTTCAAATTACATGTATAGCCTAGGGAAAACCTCCTTACCTCAGAATATTCAGTCCTCAAGGTGCACATTAACTACTTTGAGATTTTCTGTGCAGTGCTCAGAACTTGAAAAAACAAACTTTCTCATCACCTGGGAATTGGGTGTTTGGTGTCATCAATCAGAATTGATTCTGGGGAATAACAGAGAATACAAAAGGTTATGGACCTTTATGAATGAAACTCTCTGTACTCATCAACATTTGTCTTCTGAGCACAGGTAAATGCCCAAATACCAGAAATGACGACATTTCACTGAACTTTAAAAATATTATTTCCTCTGTGCAATCTCACTGCTTACCTGTGCAGTTGTTTTGAATGCTTTGTGAGTGAGATAACACTAAAATTGAAAGCTACACATTATGGTGAAATTCATATTAAAAGTTATCTGTGTTTTATTGCGGTTTCTTTTGCCTGTTAATAGTTCATACTTTTTCCTTCTCCAGAAGCAGTGCAACACCAGGTTATTTTGCAGATGCAAGTGCATAGACAAGCAGAGACGCTCTTTGTGATAATATCAGCATAAGCAAAACTACTCATAGAAGCAGGAACATTTTTATTTTTTGCTATTACTCTTTCAACAACCCTTTCCCGTAAAATTCAGCAATGGGCGGGTAGTCATCAGCATTAGGCACCCAGATGCTTTGAAGCCCAGGACCCACATCTTTGTGATTTAACTGAATCAACTTCAAAGTCAACAGGTCTAAATCTCATCAGGATACTCTCAGGGTGGAGCAAATGTCCACGCTGGAGCTCTTCCTGGATCCGTTCCTGTGCCAGCAAGTCTGGAGTTCAATATAAGCTTTAGAAACTAGATTTCCACACCACGCATGCACAGTAGTTAAAACTGATTTGCTGACATCCCATCTGACTTCTTAACAGATATTTATCTGAATTACAACAGTACCATGTAATTAGGCATAAATAAGGGCCTTTGTTCTGGAGGGGAGGAAAGTTTATCAGTTCTGAACCATATGCAATTGCGTGTCTAATCTCTGCCTGCAATTATTTCAAATGCACATCCAGATGATAGCATTTATATTCATTCTGAGATTCATTGAGGTTGAGGCCAGAAGGGATCATTATACCATCTGGCCTGACCTCCTGGATGCCACAGACCATTACATTTCCCCAATTACCTCTATATTGAGCCCTGTAACATGTGTTTGACTAAAGCATAACTATTTTTGACTAAAGCTGATCTCCCAGTAACGGAGTCTTGATTTGAAGCCATCAAGAGGAGAGAATCCACTACTTTGTGAGTACTTTGTTCTGATGGCTAATCACACTTACTATTAAAAATGTAGGTCACGTTTCCAATTTGAATTTGTCTGCTCCAGATTCAATCCTCTGGATCATGTTATACTTTTCAGAGTTAAGTTAAAAGCCCTTTGACACCCATTATTTTTTCCTGATGTGTTTATTCCCTGGAGTCAAGTCACCTCTCAAATATTTTGTTTTTGTTTTCCTCTAATAGGTTTCACTGAACTCTGAAAATTCACAGGGTAAAGTGCTTTTAATGGTCCTTCCTATCTGTGTATTTTTGTAGTACCTGATATTCATTTCAGCAGTGCCCAGCTGCTTCTCACAGTGCCAAAGATGCACACAAGGAGCACAGGGGTCTCTGCTGCCCTGGAAGCACATACAGAATTGCTTTCCTGATAGGAACCTCCGGTCTATAACAAAGTCTCTCCTTCCCAGTATGCAGCTGTAGAGTGAGGCAAATGACACTGTGCTGAAGGTTCATAAATACAGAGTTCAGTATGTACCAGTTGATCCCAGTGGGACCAGTTAATTGTATAATCCAGGTTTCTTTTATGACTTGTGCTCACCTCATCATCCCATACTATCAATTTGTGGTGTTGTGCAAACTGCTTCCCCTGAAACCAAATACTGCTCATGGCAAAATAAAAATGCGCTGTGTGCACATTCCTGTGTCCAGCTTGAGTTTTTAATATTTTGAGATTCCAATCATAAGTCTACCTGCAACAGCACAAAGGGAAAATATACAGATGGGAGTGTTAAACTTTAGGTTGTTTATTAACCAGATTTAAACTAACTGTTGGAGCAGATAGTACAGTACAGCCCAACATGTATTCTCTCGTTGCACTAAGGACAGATTTTTTCATTTCATGAATCGTTCAGAATCTGTTGTGATGATGTTACATTGGTCTCAGTACAGAGAAATACACACACACTTCCACTGAGTACTTTGTATAGAGATGACACTGACTGTGACCCTCATTGCATGTCCACTTCACACACCAGGCTGTCACCAAAACAGACAGAATCTATCTCAGTAAGGACAAAAAGCATATTCTGGTTATACTAATTGTCCTTTGAAAGTTTCACCTTAGTGTTTTGGGCACAACTTGCTTTTCTGGCCTGCATCACAGACTTCAGCAATAAGAAAAATTACATTTCTGTACTAAAAAAAACAAACAAAAACAAAAACAAAAACAACCAAAAAAAAACCCAACCAAAACCAACTAGAATTGAAGCTGTGTTCATGTATACACACACACATGCACGTGGATCTTATGCATTATAAAATACCTATGTGTATTAAATTTCTTTTCTTTTTCTGACAGATCCTGGAAAATGCTCTCGTTAAGCTTTATCTTTTCCCACTGATAAAAGACTGGTATAGAGTTATTTTGCTTCAACCCAAGTAAGACAGTTTGCACTGAACTCAATGCCAGGCAGTACCATCAGCTCATAATGTACACTGATAGTAAGAGGATAGTAGTTCTAATCTTATTCTGACTGAAATCAACAGCAGAGCTGCCCCACTTGTAATGAGAGCATGAGCCAGTGAAACTTCTCTTGACAGACAACAGGAAACATGGTTTTTTGGAGAGCAGCAATCTTTAGGCAAGGACTACCCAGCATTCGAGCGCAGATCAGCAGAATCCTGCAGATCTGGCATCTCCAAGCAGCACAGTGAAAGTCTGTGGGTGGACTAAACCCACGTCCTTTTAATTTCACTATTGATCACAGACTAAATCAAATACAGTGAGAGAAAAGAGCAAAGGAAATTGAGCTGTCCAAGACAACAACATTTACATGCCAAAAGAGACTCTTATTCCTCGTATCACTGTCTCAGCTCTGTGCGTTTAAGGACATTCCCTAAGGCAGATGTGGGTTTTTCAAAGGTTAGAAGCTAAGCATATGAAGTCTGGGTGATGCAGAGGATCCACACAACTCTGGGTCACTGCTTTCAATCTGTACCAGATGGGTACCCTCTGAGAGCCAGCATGCTCCTGCAAGTGCCTGCAGAAAACCATTTCCCTTGGCTGGCATGCTTTGGCAGCCCCACTGGTTGGGAAGCCTGGTCCCAGGCATGGCTGACCCCTCCATGTTAGGGTCAAGGTAAGCCAGAAGGACAAGATGAGGAAGAGTGCATGTGATGCCAGCCTGTCAGAGTTGAAGAAGCATTTGGACAACACTCTCAAACACACGGTGTGATTTTTTTGGGGTCATCCTGTGCAGAGCCAGAAGCTGGACTCAATGATGCTTGTGGGTCCCTTTCAACTCAAGATATTCTACGAATCTATTCTATGATTCTGTAGTGGCTTACTGCTCTATTCTAAGACACAAAAAAGTGTCAAGCACAAAGACACGCAGTCTGCAAGGCTTAAAGGGAAACCTTTGCCTCCCTTGATGTGTCTCTTGGCCTGTGGGTAACACCCAAGTTAAGATGGCAATGGCCAGAGGGGAGCAAGAAAAAGCTTAAGGCACCAAAAATGTCATACTCCCCAGTGTCTAAGGGGAAATTTTATTTGGAGCTGAAACTTGCTGCTTGACTTGGCATAACATACTCATGAAAGGTTGCCAGCAGGTCTATGTGAGGTGGGCCCAAGTCCCAGCCTGGGAAAGAGCCCCCTACAAGGCTGCTGCCCCTGTGGGAACAGCTCTTTAAAAGCAACTATAAAGTACTTCACACTTAAGTCATGTTTTATTTGTGTATAGTCCTCGTGGTTGCCAAGGGAATGGTGTCTAAACACTCTGATGGTGTTTGGGGACAGCATCTTCATCCTGACCTCCTCGTCTGATGAGATCAGGCTCCCCTCTCCCTGAGACCTTATATATACAGGTACAAACAGTCGTTTTTCTGAGGGAATTGTTCCCCAAAATATCACTGAAAACCCTCACTTCTACTGGTAAGAGGAAAATGTGTATGGAAAGCTGAGAGACTAGATTGGTTAGATACACTTTTTTTCCCAGTGCATACCACAAATCCGCTCACCGCAAAATGTTAGCTGTGTCGGAACAATTTGCACTCAGGCTTTCCAACCTGTAGTTCAAAAAATGTAAACATCAGGCCATTAAGATTTAATTGCTTTTTATGTTCTCCATGGAAGCTTTTACTATGAACTATTCATAAGCACGCTCAGGGTTGTCCAAAAAACACATTAGGGCTTTGCTTAGAGAGCAATGTGCCCAGGAACATCTTTAAGCACCAGGCTGCAGTGACCTGCCCAGAGATATCCCAGCACCCTGGAGACCCCAACCCTCCAGAGAGACCCCAGCCCACTGGTTTGGAGCAATGCAGTGCCAGCAGGACAGTCAGGGACCACACTGGTGCCAGGTGAGGAAATGGTGCCAGTCCTTTGCCACTCGAGCCATGGCAGGCACATCATTCTGTTGCTGCTAAATGTAGGTGTTTGACTTCAATTTCCTGCTCTTGTTAGATAGCTAAAACAGGCAGAAATCTCTGACCTTTCCCACCTCAGAGAGCTCATCACCAAATACGAAGGGGTTTTCCCCCCCGCCAAGGTTTTGTAGGGCAAACTTTAAAGCAGTTCTGATTTTAGTTTAATTTAATTATTTTTTACAGAAATATTTCATTAAATACTTGCCTTCTTGTACTGTTGAAACACCCTTTTTACTGTTCTCCCTGCAGTATTTTCACCTAACATTTCTAATAGACAGTAGAATAATCCTGGCAGACTTTAGGGCATCATCTCTTTTTTTTGGAACTTTTCCAAAATTTCCTCAGTTTTTACAAAAATTTTAGAGAAGTAAACCTAACTTCTGTTCCCTAAGATAACACATACACACTTTAGCTG